ACTCCATATATCCTCGGGATCCACTCCTAACCCTGCTGCCTGGCCTGTAAGGATTCCACTAACATACTGGGAACCCGGCCAGTCCAGGGCCCTACTTCTCTTGCCTCCTTTTTCTAGTTTCTTCGTGGTTCCTCCCCACCGCAGCGTTCGTGCAGACGCTACACAAGATTCCATTCCTAAACTTCTTATGGTGCTTGGTGTCCTCACTCCTCTCGTTTTCTTCTCTGATCTCTGTCCGTTTATTTAGTGCTGACTCAGAGCCAGTAAGACAAAGTGGTTGAGAACATGGAATGTGCCTCTCTCTGCATTTGAGCTCCTGTTCTGCTACTGTGTAGCTACGAAGTTTTTCTGAGTCTCCATGCCCTTGCCAGTTACATGGGAAGAATTCCAGTGTTTGTTTTCTGAGTCATCTTACGTCTAAGGGCTTGGTCTTCTAGGTTGTATCCTAAAGGAATAGAGTGAAGGGATTACATGCCATCAAGGTCTGGCGTGATGGCTGGCATCTTGGTGAGTGTTAGTTGTCACTCTTCCTTATAAGCATGTTTTAGTCGCTTTTCACGTGACTGACGAAGTAGCTGACAGCAGCATCTTAAGAATCTTCTCAGTTCTGCTCACAGTTTGGGGTTGCAAACCACAACACCCAGTGCCCAGCTCACTTTTTCATTTCGGTAGAGTCTAGGGAGCCGAGCCACGGAGCAGTGCCACCTGCCTTAACGTTAGGTCTTCCCACTTAAGTTTACCGAGTCTGGAAGCTCCTTCACAGACGTGCCCAGAAACGCGACGCCATGGGTTCCGCATCTTCTCAAGCTGACGATCGTGAAGAACCACCATAGGCGATGTACGTTTAGATGCCGTTTTAGTACCTTCAACTCGGTTCTATGCTGGACTTTACTTTCCTTGAAGGCTACCTCTTTTTTTGCAGGTCTGTTTTAGTAATCACCCCAAACACTAAATAGGAGCCCACGGAGCATCTTTTGTTCATGCATGTCTGCCTTCCACGCTTATTCCAGTGTGTTTAAGATCACCTTATTTAATCTCCTTGGTATTTCTTAAAGCAGCCTTTGTTTTGTTCATAACTACGGCCACGGTTTGGGTTCAGCCCTTCCACCAGTTCATTTATTTCTTGACACAAATTGGATTTGTCATATAAGTGACCCCAGTCGTCCAGCTCCATCTGCCATTCAAAGTCTTCTCCAGACCGCCCCTGCTTCTCCTTCCCTCTGCTCCCCTTCTTCCCCTTACTGCCCCCCACACCCTCTCCACTTCCTTCCATCCTCCCTTGTCTTTCTCCTGGTGGTTCCAATCTCAGAATGTTATTTCAATCCTGATCACATGTTCTTGGCCTTCAGTCTAACTTACTACTGACTTTCCTCTATTCTGTGAATAAGAACTATAATTTTTTAGTTATCAAAGGGTTAGAAATTTTTAAATTACAGAACGACATTTTAAAATAATGTATCAGCAACTCCTATGGTATATTACTTTATATTCTTATTTTTCACTCAAAAGATGCTGTTCATATCATGAGTAATTTTTTTAAAACTGTGTGACTGTTTCTCCAAAAATATATGTGCATGAGCTTGGCAGGACAATGAGTCCCAAAGTTTAGTCATTAGGGTTCTGTTATTGACAGCTCATAAAAAAACAGTCTTACCTGTAAGATTTCTCTAAGTCAAAAAGATATATTTTTGAGTCTGACCCTTTTAAGTTTATTTTATATATGAATGAGGATCAGCTTCTGTAAAACACAAATCAAATTGAAGTGGGGGATGAGAGGGGCAGGGAAGAGAAAAATAATCGCTAATACTGTAGGATTCTGTGTATAATTTAGCTGCTTTAGGTATTAAGTAATCTTTTATATTGATCATAACTATTTCCCGAATATGGGGAGAACTATATTCACTCTAAATTTATAACATTTTTGGAAGTTTAATTATCATACTTGAAGGTCAAATGGTGCTTTATTGCAATAAAATACAAAAAGTAATAAAGAAATTATTCCTGGGGAGATGAAAGTCTCGGATCATAGCTCATTAAATACTAACTTCACAGACCGTGTCTAATTTGTCATATTTAGCTTTGGAAATTTAATACATTAGAATTTCAAATTAGGGGAAAAGATACATGAGACCAAACTACCTAGGGCCTTTGAATTCCAAAATGATTTAGGAGGTTAAGCTCTGGTATCCTAGTGCCTGTATTTGTGTGAATTACCTGTAGTGTGTGTGTGTGTGTGTGTGTGTGTGTGTGTGTGTGTGTGTGTGTGAGTGTGTGTGCAAGTGTATATTACCTACCTGATTCAAAGACGGTCTTAAGCACTCAGTGACATGAACAGACAGCTCAGTTTCAGATATTTGAAGAACTGAAGTCTTCATTGAACTGAATACTACGCCCAATAAATCGGCTGAAATCTGTTAGAGCTACAGTGTTTCTGAGTCACGTGTTGACCTTAGAGCATCCTTCTGAAACAAGCCATTGACAGGAAATACGGTCTTAAGAAGGAGAGCACGTACAATCTCGTTTTCCCTAGTATGCCTAGATGCTGTGATTGTGTGAGGTCCTGGGAGGCCCAAGCTTTAAAGGACTAAGAACGAATTTCAGTTCTTGATTTTCATTCTGCAGTGAGTGGCTCAGTTTCTTTCCTACCTTTGAGTGTGGTGGTTCCCTAATGGATACCGAGTACAGAGTTTCTTCCTAACGCTAATTCAGCCTTGTCCAGTGGAAATAGAATGTAAGCCCTATGTGTAGTTTTAAATCTACAGTGGTCGCATGTAAGAAACAAAAATAACATAGTTAATTTAGTTAACACAGTATATGTAAAATATTAAACATTTCAACATTTTATAAGCAATATAAAATTATTAGAAGATGTTTTACATTTTTTCTGTGCTAACACTCAAAAATCTAGCATATATTTTATACGCAAAGTGCACTTAAGTATTAGAATATCTGGCTTCTTTAAGGTTTTATGAATTTGCTGTTAGAAGTAGTATTACATGCCTATCTGTCCAGTCTTAAAAGTCTTCAAAACTAGATTGAGCATCCAAAAAGCTCCTTTTCCTTTATATTCACATATTGACAAAATTTGTTCATTTTTAGGAGCGTTTATCTACCTTTGATACAAAGTGTGTGTATATGTCAATACTATGTGCAAATAAATTCTTTTATTTTTATCAACCCAGTATTGTTAATATGAAATTTGTAGGAATATAACATAAGACAAAAAGCAGCTATAGTATTATTTAATGTAACAGAAGGAGCTATGACTGATATCTAAAGGGTTTAGACAGTTTAGATGACACTGGGACTTACAAGTTAACATCTAACATCGATTCTCATAAGCAACTGTATAACATCAATACGTTTCTAGTTTATTTTATGTTTGTGCATGTGCGGGGTGTGGAGGCCAGAGACCCACGGGGGTTGCCTTACTTCACATTCTTCACCTTTTTTTTAAGATCAGGTCTCCCACTGAGCCTGGAGCGCACTGTTTCAGCTGCCCTGGCGGTGCAGTCGATACCGGGCTCTGCCTGTCTCTGCCTTCTGGTGCTGGTATTACAGTAGTTCACCACCACCTTTGGCCTCTCATAGGACCTAAAAAGGCCTAAAAAGGCCTAAGTTAGGGCCGGGGAGCCTAACTTAGATCCCACGCTCGTTCAGCAAGCACTTGGCACACTGGCTTTTTTTCCTAGCCCTATACATTTCTAGTTTGGAAGTTTCTGAGTCAAGCCTTAGAACTTTCATAGCAGACATGGGTTATTCCAACATTTGATTGCTCGAAATTTGTGGCCATAGTGGGCTACATAGTGAGATCCAGGATGCCTTGGACTATAGAATGAGACCTTGCCTCAAGAACAGCAGGAACAAATTCGGTTCAACACAGATCCTTTCACTCCCTCTTACCGGAAGCTCCCTGTTCAGCCTGTTCATATGCACTGTGATAATGGGAAAACATGCGTCCGGTGCCGTAGTCTTTGTGATTTTCGGTTATTGGGCAAATATTTCTTTTGTGTGGAGAAAACCTTCAATCAGAGTTAAGAATTCAGACAGCCTTTGTGGATCCCCTACAATTTGATCAATAGGAATCAATACAAAACACAAAATCTTTAAATGTATTATCTTTCATTTGTAAGAGTTCCACAAATGCCTTTCATAAATTTAATCATGGCACTCTCCATAAAATCTTCATGTGTGTGTGTGTGTGTGTGTGTGTGTGTGTGTGTGTGTGTGTGTGGTGTGTGTGTGCGTGTGCAAATTTTCAAGACAGGTTTCTCTGTGTATCCCTGGCTGCCCTGGTACTCACTCTGTAGACCAGGCTGGCCTTGAACTCAGACATTCACCTGCCTCTACCTCCCAAGTGCTGGGATTAAAGGCGTGCATGCCTAGCTTAAAATCTACTTTCTAAAAACCCACGCAAATATCTTCAGTATGCATTATGTGTTAAGCTGAAGTCACTTCACAGAATGGGTCTCATTTTAAAATACTGTTAATTCTGGATTCTTAGTTTGGCATAGCTGATCTACTGCCCATTGTAGGAGAAGTTGATTTTTCAAATCTAGTTGACAGTTTTCTTTGAAAATTAGAAAAGACTTTGGAGTGTCTGTGCCACGAACTCTTACATTTCGGCAGTGAACTGACATCTCCTCAAGTTTGGAAACCATTATGGGGCAGGGTAGAAACAATTGTCAGCCATGTGACCTGGGCAGAGTCCTATGAGACAGGGTTTCAATGCAGCCCTGGCTGTCCTGAAACTCACTCTGTAGACCAGGCTGCCCCCAAACTCACAGGGGTGTGCCTGCCTCTGCCTCCCGAGTGCCAGGATTAAAGGCGTGCACCACCATAACTGACTTAGTATTTTTTTTAAAAAAATCCTGCAGGGTAAAAAGCCCTTAGCTGTGTGGTGTGATGTGTTTCATATGAACTAAATTCTGTAGCTGCGTTTGTGATTGCTTGTCACTGGGTTTTGCCTTTATGGTGAATCTGTTTTTCTTTCGTTCCAGCTCCCACGGAAGCCAGTGCTCAATTTCACCTCGGTAAGTGTGTAAGGATCTGACGATATCAGCTTAGTACTCGGTCACCCGCCCACTTCTGGCACAGGCTGTAGAGTGAAAACCCCAGCTCCCTGGCTCTCTGACCTTCACTGGGGTCACCTAGACTCAGGTTCGGAGGATGCTGGAGCTAATGGCCTCCCAGCCACTGCTCTGCCCCTCAAGGACTTCCTTATGCCAGCGCCCTCACTCTCAGAGTTCAGTGCCACCCTACGGCTGAGTGTCCAACAGCTAAGTTTCTCCAGAACTCCCACCCATCACATCAGAGTGCAGAGGCGGGAGCCATGGGTGTGGACACACTGGGGTCATTTTAAATTTAAGATTTCTGCTCGAATTCTTCGGTTGAAAGGGACAATCGTTCAGCTATTCCTTCTGGCATTGGAGGAAGCTGTTAAGTGATTACCTACTTTAAAAAAAAGGAAGCCATGATTTCCTAACAGTACCGTGGACTCGGTGACCCTAACTCTTCAAGGCAAGGCGATGAGATGGTTAAAAGCACAAATTCTGGAGCCAAACTGGGTATTTTTATCTAATTGTCGCCACTTGCTATAAGTTACGACATTGATCAAGGAATTTGTCTAAGCCCACATGTAAAAGAATCAATAACAATATCTACCTCACTGGGTTGGTATGTGTAAATGAAATTTCAAATTATTTAGTAAAAGGTATCATATTATCTGGTGATGAATGAATACCAAATGTGTTTCTGTATCCACTGAAGCTAACCTAGGGTGGGGATTGTCTCTAGAAAACAATTAACCATTGAGAGTTAAATTTGTCATGTTGTGTCAGTGAAGACTTATTATAAAGCAGTTTCCTACTCTCTGTAGTTTGATATGAGTGAGAGGAATCGCCTTCACACATCCCAGTCCTTCCTGGCGTCTCTTACCATGGGGCCTGAGTTAGGTCCATTGCTTGCCTCTTGGGCTTTGTCTTTCAACCTACAAACCCAATTAATTTCTTTTTCTCTTTGGAAAATCTGCCTTGAGAAGCTCTGCTTTTATGTAATGCTACAGCTTGGGGCTCCTCTTTGGCAGCTGAACGTAACTGCTTAGAAGCGTTCCTTCTGGCAGCCGCGACAGGCTGGTGGCCCACAGTGGCACAGCGAAGTCGTGGCCAAGCTGTGACCTGAGAAAGCTGTACCCCGTAGGCACGTCCCACTCTGCATCCACACGCTGGGAGGGATCATTAACTCACCCCTGCTCAAAGCCTATCACTGGGTCCTCTCCTCCCTGCCCTCGTGTCTCAGGCTCTGAGGAGGAGCTACCGGAACTCCTAAGTACATGCTGGTTTGCTGGTTTCCATAGCTTCATTATAGGCTTGCCTGCTGGCATACCTGGTATTCAAGGGGTGCAAACTGCCATAGGTAGGATGTCACCAAAGAGAATTTGAAATTATCTTCCCTGATATTTGGAAGAGATTTTAATTACCCAGTGAGTTCAGAGAATTGTGTGACTGAGTCCCTAAAAGCAGAAAATAACAACTTTGAAAAGTATAAAAATTGTTAAAGGTCTCTGTTAGTCACATGGTATGATTTTAATTTTTCTGAAAAGTAGCTCAGTCAAACAAAATGATAAGGAAAGGACACAGGGGCTTTATATTACCCAAACTTCCCACACAAGCCTCCCAAATCCAATGAGAATGTTGTTAGAGCAGTGATTACCTTCTCCCTTCTCACTATGAGCACACTGACATCGTAGCTGGCCATGAAATCATTTTGCCCCACCTTCTTTTCAAAGCAAGCAGGCACTCTACAGTGTGTGAAGATGTTCTTTGGCATGCTCAAAATCCTAATACTTAAAAACAGGCGTGGAATACAATTGCAAGGTGGAGCTGCTGGATTTTCCTCCATGGCTGGTGTCCCCGCATTCTCCCTGACTTTTAAATTGGCTCTATAGTTACACATGTGCTTTAGTTATATGTGCAGAGAGTATTTTTCTGTGTAATTCCGGTGGTTCAGCTAAGTTAGCAATTCAGAGCTTACTAAATGAATAACGAATGAGTGTGAGGAATTCTAAAATCAAGCCAGGGCAACAGGGCCGACCAGAAGGACGAGAGGAAATGGGTCGGAAAACTCCATGGTAGCTGTGTGGGCTGCAGTAAACAGAATACTCCATCCCATTCCTCCATGCCTCAGTGAGCAGAGCAGTTCTGCCGAGGCTGTGGCTCGGTAGACGTGATGTGGATCAGGACACTGGCCCTCCTGTATGTGACCACTCGGTAGCTTCAAGTCTAAACACTAAACAGCAAAGTCTTCACCCTCCGCATTTAGGGACAGAGCAGTCACAACCACCTGCTTATATAGCTGACAGTTTTAATGTAAAATACGACTGTTCTTCCTAGACGCAGCTTGTGACACCCACAGGTAATCCCTCCATTGTGTAACGCTTCTCTCAATGCTCTCTTCCTCTCTTAGCCGAAATGCACAGTGACACTGTGATCCTACGGGACGACTTTGACTCCTACCATCAACTGGAATTAAATCCCAACATATGGTAAGTTACAGGAATGTGCTGCCTTTTGACCGGAGAAAGGATGCTGAGTTTGTTCCATGAAAACGTTTTCTCTCTGAAGGATCTGTTACTGAAAATTCACCTGCTTTTGAGTACTATGTATTGATGAAAATGGTTAATGGTGGAATTAACTATCTACCAGCTACCCTGCCATTAGGGTCTTCTTTAAAATTGGGTGGAGGTGTTCTTCAAATCTCTCGGTGCTTAGATGGATACTTAGTTTTATAAGATTTTCATATTCCATTCTAATTTACTTTTCTGTTGCTTAGTAAATACTGTGATCAGAAGGAAGTTGGAGTTTATTTAAGCTGACCTTCCAGGTTCATCACTGAGGGGACTCAGGTCAGGAACCTGGGAGTGGGGCCTGAAGCAGAGACCTTGGAGGAACACTGCTCACAGTCTTGCTGCCATGTTTGTGTTCACGTGCTTCATACAGTGAGGCCAGCTGCCTAGGGATGGTGCTTTCCACAGTGGGCTGGGCTGCGTACATCAGTTCGTCATCAAAAATGCCCACAGGACAGGCCAATCCTTCAGCGAAGGTTCCCTCTTTCCACGTGTGTCAAGTTGACAAGATTAGCCATCTTAGCCATATAGAACATCATGCTAGAATGTATTTAATAGTTACTGCTGAGTGGCAGAAGGAAAATGTCTCATGTGTAATGACAAATGGCTTCATCATAAATTGAAATAATCTCTCCTATTCGCTCTCCTCATTACCCGATTTTCTTTAGAAGGCTTTTAAGTATAAATTCCATGCAATTTTGAGGGCAACAAGATAATGAACTCAGAGTCAGTCTTTAGAAATCTTTGTATATAGCTTGAAATCTAAATGCGTTGGCCGTAGATTACAGTTTTGCTGACCTTAGAATAGGCCTGTGAATCAGACCTTTTGGGAAAATGATCTGAATTTTGGGCTTTTTGTAATAGGTATATGATTGTGCAGGAAAAGAAGAGTTTAAAAAATGCTAAACTTCGAACCTGGAATGAAAACCCAAGCAATAGCAATACTCAAGATCAGAAAGCAAATGATCCCATTACCCTTGATTGTCAGCGTATGAGGTCACTCTTTTTCTAATTTTTGCTGTTTAAACAAATATTTTAGTGGCATAATCAGTTAGCATATTGTACGCACACAAATATTTAGCCGTAATTGTTTAAGTAGGTTTTTTTTTGGTTAGAAATTACATATCTCTTGAGTAGTTAATAGCATGGGACCCAGAAGAGGAATGAAGTCCCAGCAGGATTCTCTTGGAGAAAGTGGCCCCCAGACTGAAACCTGAAGATGGCAGACAGACAGACAGACAGACAGAGCACTGGGGCTCTAGCAGTAGCAAGCGGTCCTTTACATTTTCTCTAGAAACATATATTAGTCTGGATGGTGTTAAATAGAATAGAATTTACTAACCCAGACAGACTCATAGTGTCCTGTAATTTACATATTTAAGAAAACAATGAATCACCGGACTATCCTTCTCTGGGAAAAATCCAAATATAAATGTCTTGAAATAAATAGAAGTTTGTTTTAAGAAAAGGCAAACAACAACAACAACAAAATATTCAGGAGCCATGTCTGACCGGAAAAGTTCTTCCTTTTCCCTTGACGTCTGTCGTTTTGCGTTCCGTGGATATAGACGTTAACGGATGATTGGGTGATTTCAGGAAAGTTCATCTCTGTCAGGCTGACTCATCACCTCCAGTTTTCCGGACAAATACAAAATGTGACTTTTATGGGATTCAAAATCTGTTGTTGTGTTTTTAAATCAATGAAATGTGATTGATTTTTACTTCAGCTATTTCCATGATTGATTGGGTATGATCTTTCCTGGTCAAAATTATGGATTTTGTGTCCCATTTGCTTATGCTATGATTTTTCCATTCTTTTGGACACTTCCCCTTTTAACCTTACAGCACCAGCGCTGCTGCTGGACGTGATTCTGAGCGCGTTTGCTGCCTGCTTGCCTATGACAGCCCTTTCACTTCGTTCCTTTAAGACTTTCTTTCTCCTCCTCCCCTTCCTTCCTTCCTCCCTTTCTTTCTTCCTTCTTTCTTTTTTTCTTTTTTTTTTTTTAAAGAAAACATAGACTATGACTCTCCTAATTGAGAAGGCGTTTTGTTAAATTAGAATTGACACAGCCTCAGATCAGGGCAGTATGGTTTAACTTCCAAACGTGTAGCTTGCTAACTTGGGCACCCTGAGGAAAATAAAGAGCTCTCTTCTTTCTGTGACCCCCATTTTTTGCAGCAAAAATGAGGCCTTGAGACGTGAGTGCTGCTACCACACCTAAGCATGACAGGTGTCCATGAAAGTTTCATATTCCTCCCTTTTCCCTCTCTTTCTCCCTCCTTCCTTTCTTTCCTCCCCTCCACTCCTTTTTGCCTCGCTTTCCTTCCTCTTTCCATCTGCCATATTCTTCCCACTCTCCCACACTGCTTCCCTCCTTCCTGTGATGGTATTTATACAATGGGCTAGATTTCTTCTAAACCCAGACACGAGTCTTAAAATTGATCTTGATCCATTTACATGATGCTTCAGTCTTTGGATCACGTTTGTATAAAAAAAAAAATCCGATTAAGTTTGCCTGCATTGCATTCTCTGTGAATGCAGTAAAAATGGATACGCAGACTCACACGGAAGGGCAAAGAGCGTTGTCAGGTAGCCAGGACCCCTTAAACACGAACATAAACTCCATCAGCTCATAACGAACACCCAGTAAATTCAGATATTCTAGTGTGTGTCTGTGTCTATGTATACATGTCGTGAGAGTTTATACGTGTGTGAAGGTCAGGACGGCCTTGAACGTTGGTCCTCGCTTTCTATCTTGTTTGAGGCAGGCTCTCTGTGGTTCTCTGAGGAATGTATCAGTGTCTTACCTGTGAGCTTCAACAGGTTATCCCGTTTCCTCTTATCTTACTGGAGAAATGTTGTGAAAACAGACCTGCACTGCTGTGCCCTGCTTTAGATGGGTCCTGGGGATTCGAACTCAGGTCCTCATGTTTGCTGGACAAGTGTTGTATGCACTGTGTCATCTCTACAGCTTAATATTTTAATTGGTATTTTAATATTAATTTTTAATACCAGTTTAATATTTTTAAGAAAGTGACGAAGCCTCACCTTGGCTGGAAACCGTCTGGACAGTTTTCTCTCTCCTGCTGTCTGTTTCCACGTTTGTAATGATTGTAGCTGGGTGACCACAAGGCAAGGGTCATCATCCACGCCACCTCTGTGTCTCTGCGCCCGTGCCGCATACCACCAGAGAGGGGCAGGGTGCTGCTGTGGCACTTAGGGCCACATTCCCACAGCTAAACACCTCACCAAACAATCCTCCTGAAAAGAGAGATGTGACACTTGCACCAGTGTGGTCCCCACGTGGGTCTAGAGCCTCCGTGAGCCTCGTTCGGTTTATAATTCCTGTGGACAACCATAGGAATTCAGGGGGAAAGTCAGAAATAAACCACATTTTAGCTGTGTAATTCGCATGGACGATGAGTAAAAGGAAAAATGGTCAGGCAGTGAAGGGGAGCACCTTTAATCTCAGCACTCAGGAGGCAGAGGCAGGCAGATTTCTGTGAGTTCCAGAACAGTCTGATGTGCAGAGTGAGTTCCAGGGCAGGCTCTAAAGATACAAAGAAACCCTGTCTCGCAAAAGTGAAAAAGAGACAAAAAGAAACGAAAAAGAAAAAAGTAGAAATGAAGAAATCAGTTATAGCTGTTTAGTTTAAGATCCATTTTAAAAGCTCAGTCATTCACTTATTCGTTCCTGTTCATTTCTTCTAATGTCCATTTCTCGTTCTACTTTATGCAGCTTTTACTCTCCTGGTTGTTGCCTTATTACAGATAACTACACAGGAAATACAAAAAATAAAAAATGGCATTCCTATGGTCATGGTTAAAGCAGTAGCGGCATGTTTCCGCCAGGGTTTGGCGGGCAAAGGTGTTGGAATCAAGGAACATTTTGTACGCGGACGCAGTAGTGAAGGAACTCTGTGCTGAGCGGTTTAAAGATTTGACTTCAAAAATGATCACTTTGTTTAGTGAGAAGATCAATGAATGAAAGAATATAAACAATAAGGCCTTTCCCTTTCTAATAGAATTATATTCTCTTCCCCTGGAGCTGCTAGCTGTGGTGGTGGTTCCTCTGTCCTTCTAGAAATTATTTATATAAACACAAATGTAGTAACAAATTTCATTCGCAAGCTTGGATAGTAGGACGTCGCAGCTTCCTTTATTTTTCCGTAGCCCCCTTAATTGTTTTCCTTTTCACCCATTACACCTTAATTGGATTCAATTCCGGTTTGCCCTCTCCCTTTTCTCTAGATCTTAGCTAGGTTTCAGGAGTCGTATTAGTGCGATGGCATGTGGTAAGTCATCGCTAAGTCATCCCCCCTCCTCCGCAACCCCTTCCCGGTGCCCAGACGTGTTCCTGTCGATGCCCTCCAAATCTTCCATGACCAACTCTAGTCCTTGACAACTCCAAGCCCACAGAGACCCTTTGTTCCTGTCCTCATTGCTCTGCCAGGGCAGTTGCTGCTTCTGTTCCTGCTCCCTGCGTCTTGACTAGGGGAGAGGAGGCCGAAGAGCAGCATTCCTGCACTCAGCTATGCCAGCCAGGCTTGTGGCTGTTGTCCTTCCTCCCCCTGGGATGCACGGCTTCTTTGTCCCTGACTTTCTGTCGGCCGTCTATCTCTTCCCTGCTCCACCCGCTACTGTTTACTTCGTTTGAGAGTTAAGTTAGGAACAAAGACATCAAGCAGGCAATAGAGTAGTTCTCAGACTTGAGAGACACTCATCTGCCTTGGCCTGGGTGGTGGACCGCACGCAGGCCTACTTCTGAAGGACAGCAACGTCCTCAACAATTCTCAAGTGTCACTGAGCCTGCCTGGCTGTGAGGGGGTACGGATGGAGCAACAGGAGCCCATTAATGCTGCTGACAGCTCAGTCAGCAACTGTGCTCAGTACAGCTGCATCGCTGGTGATAGAGGAT